GTGAGTTTTTGCTTAAAAATTACTTATAAATAATTAACAAAAAAAAATGTATCACGCAAAACAAACGCATTGGTCCCATTCTGCTCTGAAGAAATTAACGGTACTCTTAAATTTTTATATGAAAATTGAAGTCGGTTGTGTTTTTTGCTTAAAAATTACTTGTTTTATTTTATGGCCCAAGACATTAGAATGTCATTTTGTATTTGCATTGGCAAGCTAGTAAATTCTTTGCACATTTGCTGTTATTGACAAATAGTGCACTTGGCAGGTAAAGTAAAAATACAATTTTTTTTTATGAACTGACAGTCGCACAAACTGGTCTGTCGGCGAGAATAGACGGTGGAAATAGAAGTGGCGACGCACTTCTAAGGCCTTAAACTCGAAAGCGAGCATATGTATGCATATGCATATGTACAGTCATAAAAGTAATATGTTCTTATGTACATATATTGTAGATAGATGCATAGAATGTAGTTAAAAACAAACCTTCAACTAGTACTTTGGCTCCGAGTGCATGTCGGCGCATAAACTGTGTATGCAATTGGCAGCCCGTCAGTCAGTCTGTGGGCTTCCATACATGCATGCATACATATGTACAGATGTGTAACCCGTCGCCCTCCAATAACAATTGTGACTATATACCTCAACTATTGGCAGTTGCGTTGGAGCACTGGACGTGTTCATGAGCTATGCATTTACATGCAAACATGTTTAGCATCCAACACGATTTTCAGTGATTGTGTTGTAAGTCAAGATAGCCGGATTGCCTTCGTTCGCTTGCTCGCTGTTGCAAGTATCAAATGACGTTCGGAATCGTTAGAAGATAGCTGGGATTGCTTGGTTGGCTGATTTTGTGATTCTTTGGTGCATTGAACGCGGCGACTACGTAATAGTGCCTTTTGTTTATCTAGGTTGGCCTTTGATGATGCGTATAGTTTTTAAGCTGTGCAATTCTTGACTTGTACGACTTACATAGTTTAAGGCCATAATGTAAAGTAACTGTTTTGTGACAAGGTTAGAACGAAGTACATATATGTAAGAGTAGCTTTTTTCTATAAGTTGTACGAGTATTACGCGCCGGTGCATATATGTATGTCGTATGGCGAAGTACCATGAGTGTACTTTGATAGACCCGAAGGAGCTATTTCAACCCGAAATTTACACACCATATTACGACGGAAACGAGTAGTCACCACCAGACGGCTGCGGAGACTGCCAAACACCAGCGCGCCAATTGCTTTCAACAGCGACGAAATTAGTTTGATCATCAGGAAGGCTAAAGCTTCGAAAGCCAATTTTAAGGACAGTTTGAGAATTCGAGAAACCTGTCGGCTATCTTTCATTTCTCCAGTAGTTGCGGTCTTGTTTCTCTCGTCATTCATACACCAAGGCGTCAAGGCACTTAACGAGAAAAGGACGTAAAAAATCGCAGCCTTAGAAAAAAATCAGCGCGGTCAGTCACACTGGACCAAACATTCACTCGTTTCGTGTTTCAAAGTGAATGGCCATCGCTCAGATCTTTCACTACAAGGAACGTATTACTTTTGCCTGAGCAGGCTTTAAACCGCATTCATTGACAACTCTCAACCTATGAATACCGTGATGGAGCCCAGTCTCCACCTTCTTCCTCGGGTTCAATCCCAATTTAGAGGAAAAAAAAACTCGTTTCCTGAGCCTACCGTTAGTTAAACTTATCAACTCGATCTAGGCGGGGCTTAGTAGTGACACTACACATCAACCACAACAACAAACTTTCGCCCCGTGACATACCCAACACACGCCCGGCTTGTGAAGGTTCCCCACTCGATACCAACCACCGTTTCTCACTCAGCTAACACCTTTCTCCATTTGGTTCGACCCCGTCGAATGAGCACGTTTATTGGTATTACCGTTAGGTGAAATTGGCGACAATACTTAATGGATCCACTATTTAGGCAGAATTTAGTAGAGCAACAACAACAATTTTTTCTATATATAATTCTTAGGTTAATTTGATTCTCGAATACATATATGTTCACCTTTAAACAAATACAATTCTCTAGATAATACACTCCCATCTATAATTATGTAATTTCCAGTAGTTTAGCCAAAGTTAACCTTTTTTAATTTCCTTTGCAGTTGCAGCGCTGGATTCCTAAAACGCTATTGTGAAGCCCTGAAGGTTTTGGAGATTGTGAGGTTACTGATCTTATTGCAGCTTTTGCAAACTCCACCTTTAAGCGCATTTTGAGAGTTATAACGATATTCAAAGCACCTGCTATAAAAGTACAAGTCCTTCCGTAAGAGTGTATACATTGGAGTGAGTGAAAGATTGCGCGTTGTGTGAACGTCGTTTCCGTTCAAACTCTGTGACATACTTGCATACCTAAACTAACGTAAAACTCAGGCGAATCTTAGCAAGCGTTAAACTCTATTTTGGTAGTGAAAGATGGAAATCGAAACCGCCCAACGAAATGGAAATGTGGACTCGCGCGAGAGCTCCGTGGACCGCGAACTCAACGAGGACGTACAGGCTGTTGAGCTAAATGGCTCGTCTGGATCACCGAAAGGCATGAATGGGCACATGAAGAAGCCCTTGCCCGTTGGAGATGGTCATGATCGCATCAAGCGGCGTGCCAAGCGTCTCATACACAGACAAAATAGTCGTGGCGAGACGAATGGCGCTGCCAGTGCAGCACTCGCTGCTGCCGTTAATGGCAGCGCTGGCGGCTATGTGGTGCCACATCGTCGCTGGAAGAATAGTCGTCGGTCGCGCAACGGCTACGGACGCGGCTTGCCGAAGAAAGGCGGCGCTGGTGGTAAGGGTGTTTGGGGCTTGCTTGGTTCGGAGGCGCTCGAAGAAGTGTATGAGGATGAGAATGATCCCAACTACGATAGCGAATGTAATGATAAGAATATCGAGTTGCGCGAAGTTATTCCGGAGTTGACACCGGAAGAATTCTTCAAATTAGCTGAACCAATTGTATTGGAGTATTATGAGCACGGTGATACCCATGAGGTGGCTGTGAGCTTTGACGAGATACTTACCGGTCCGCTGCGACCATACGTGACAAGCGTTGTGGTTGAGATCTCAATGGATCATAAGGATTCGCAGCGTGAAATGACATCGGTATTGATATCCGATTTGTATGGACGCGTCATAACCGCGAAGGATATCGAAAAAGGTTTCGAAATTTTGCTGGATAATTTGCCAGACTTGACACTGGACACTCCGGAGGCGCCTACCATACTAGGTAAGTTAAGGTGAAATGTGCTGGTGTTGCTAAATGCGACTTTGACCACAGATAGTGTTTAATTGTTTTAGCGTATATTTTCACTTAATTTGTTTCAAATTAATCATAGCCTCTTCAAAATATCACTTTTTCAGGCAATTTCCTAGCACGTGCTGTCGCCGATGACTGTCTCCCACCCAAATTCGTCACAAAGCCGACCGATCTCGATGCGCAGAGTCAACATGCTGCCGCTGCTATACGTCGCGCTGACACCTTAATGCACATGAAGCAGGGCTGGGCACATTTGGACAATGTTTGGGGTATGGGCGGGCCGTTGCGACCAGTCAAGACCATCACCAAGGAGATGACATTGCTATTGAAGGAGTATTTGTCATCACGCGACATACAAGAGGCACATCGCTGTCTACGCGCACTCGAAGTACCACATTTCCATCATGAATTGGTGTATGAAGCCATTGTCATGACTCTCGAATCGCTCAGCCAGAATACGGAGGAGGCCATGTGTGAGCTACTCAAGTCGTTGGATAAGGCATGCTTGGTATTGCCAGCCGGCATGGAGCAGGTGTGTAAAAGAGTTTTATTTTTTAGATTATTCTAGAAGCTTTAATGGCCGGTAATTCTACAAGGCAAATCAAGTCTTATTCTTCAGAAAG